GCCACTGGACCAAGATGGCCGCCGGGCCAAGATGGCCACCGGACCAAGATGGCCGCTAGACCAAGATGGCCGCCAGGCCAAGATGGCCACTGGACCAAGACGGAGGCCGGGCCAAGATGGCTGCCGGGCCAAGATGGCCACTGTGGGTGTGGGGAGAAGGAACAAGATGGCTGCCGCAGCGGGGATGGTGCCCAGCAGAGTTTGGGATCAAGATGGCCGACCGCGGATGTAGGGATGGCAAACAAGATGGCCGCCGCGCCGCACGGCAGGGTGGCTGCGGTTTGATCGGGATCAAGATGGCCGCCGGCACACCAAGATTGCCAATGCTGGGTAGGAGGGAAGCAAGATGGCCGCCGCTCTACTGGACACGTTTGGACTGGGATCAAAATGGCTGCCGTCACTTCTGGAGGCATCGTGGCCGCTGGTGGGGTCAAGATGGCCGCTGGCACACCAAGATGGCCGACATTGGATAGGCGGGGTCAAGATGGCCGCCGGCACACCAAGATGGCCGACGTTGGTTGGGTAAGTCAGGAGCAAGATGGCAGCGGCAGATGGGGGTTGGTGGAGGCCAAGATGGCCGCCGGTTGCTGTGGAGACGAGGGCCAAGATGGCCGCCAACATAGCGGAAAGGCGAGGCTGCCATTGGCTGGGCTGGCCAAGATGGCTGCCATTATGCAAATGAGATCCAAGATGGCCACCAAGATAGCGGAAAGGCGAGGCTGCCATTGGCTGGGCTGGCCAAGATGGCTGCCATTATGCAAATGAGATCCAAGATGGCCGACAAAATGACGGCAAAGCAAGGCCGCCATTGGCTGAGCCAGAGAAGACGAAAGCCGTTATGCAAATGAGGACCAAGATGGCCACCAAGATTCCGGCAGTGCCATTGGCTGAGCAGACCAAGACGGCGCCACCCACAGTCCAAGATGGCGGCTGCTGGTGGCCATCTTGGATTGTGTTGGTACCATGGCAACTGGGCGGCCATCTTGGATCCTCGGTGGCCATCTTGGATCCTCAGTGGCCATCTTGGATCCTCAGTGGCCATCTTGGAATCCTGGTGGCCATCTTGGATCCTCAGTGGCCATCTTGGAATCCTGGTGGCCATCTTGGAATCCTGGTGGCCATCTTGGATCCCTGGTGGCCATCTTGGATCCTCAGTGGCCATCTTGGATCCCTGGTGGCCATCTTGGATCCTCAGTGGCCATCTTGGAATCTTGGTGGCCATCTTGGATCCCTGGTGGCCATCTTGGAATCCTGGTGGCCATCTTGGATCCTCGGTGGCCATCTTGAACCGCCCGCCTGTCCAAAGTCCTGGCGGCCATCTTGGATGAGAACAACCCAGGGCCACCTTGGCGGCCATCTTGGCCCTTCCTCACCCCGTCCCGGCTGCCATCTTCCCTCCTCCTCCTAATCCTCCTGCGGCAGCCATCTTGTCCCTCCGCCATCTTGAATCCTCCTTCTCCCTTCCAGAACATTCCCCCGGAACAATTTTGGGGTGATTTGGGCGGTTTTAGGGAAAATCAGGGCAGGGAGAGAGGATCCCTCGTTGTCAAACCTGGATTTGGGTGAAAATCCCTGATTTTGGTGATTGTTGGGGATTTTTTTTGGGTGTTTTTGGTGTTTAATGGTGATTTTTTGGGGGTGTTTTTTGTGATTTTGGGGTTTTTCTAGGAGTTCTTGGCGATACTTTCGGTGTTTTTGGTGTTTCTTGGGGATTAATTTTGGGTTTTGGCGATTATTTTGATTTTTGGGTGGGTTTAGGTGATTTAAGTTGATTTTTGGGTGATTTTTGTTGATTTTTGGGTGATTTTTGGTGGGATTTGGTGATTTTGTGGAGATTTTGGTGTTTTTTGTTGATTTTTGGGTGGTTTGGGGTGATCTTTGGGGTGTTTTGATGATTTTGGGTGATTCGGGGGTGTTTTTTGTTGATTTTTGGTTGATTTCGGGTGATTTTTGGGTGGGTTTTGGCGATTAATGTTGATTTTTGGGTGTGTTTTGATGATTTTGGGTTATTTTGGGTGGGTTTTGTTGATTTTCGGGTGTATTTTCGTGATTTTTGGGTGATTTTGGGTGATTTTTGTTGATTTTTGTGTGGTTTTGGGTGATTTTGGGTGATTTTGGGTGATTTTTGGGTGATTTGGGGTGATTTTTGGGTGAGTTTTGTTGATTTTTGGGTGATTTTGGGTGAGTTTTGTTGATTTTTGGGTGGTTTTGGGTCATTTTGGGGCGATTTTGGGCGATTTTTTGGCTCCTGGGCCGCGGCTCCTCCCGGGGGTGTTAATTAGGCCATGGGAGGGGGGTGGGGCGCTTAATGAGCCTAACGAGCTCGTTAGGGCAGCGCTGCCAGGGCCCCGTGCCCGGACACGGGGTCCCCTCCCCCCCTTGGCAGGGGCGACCCCATTCAGCAGAGGGGGCGGGGCCTCGGCGATGACGTCATCGGGGAGGAGACTCCAAAATCGCCCCAATTTCCCCCAAATTTCCCTGCCCCTCCCCCAACGGACTAATTAACCCCTCCCCCAATTAACCCCTCAAATTAACACCCCCGTAATTAACACCCCAAGTCCCCTTCCCTAATGAACCCCCTAATTAAGACGCCCCCCAATTAACAGCTCCTAATTAACATCCCCCATTAATACTCCTATTAAGATCCTCCAATAGACCCCCCCTAATTAATAACCCCAAAAAGACACCCCACAATTAGCGACACCCCTAATTAAGTCCCTAATAAACGTTTTGCTTCTTACCAGCCCCTAATTAATAGCTGCTAATAGAGATCTAATTAATAGTCCCCTGATTAATCGTCCCCATAGAAACCCTCAATTAGCACAAATAACCCCAAGAGACTTCTCAATTAACAATGTGGCTAATTAATAGTCCCTAATAGAGACCTATCTAATTACCTGACCATAACTAATAGCTTGTAATTAGCTCCTCAATTAATCCCCCAATTAAAAGCCCTTAATGGAGACCCTGAATCGCCCCCCATTTATTAATCCCCAATAAAAATCCTTCTAATTAACAGCCTCTAATTAATGACTAATGACAACCCCTAATTACAACAACCCCAATTAATAACTAACATTGACCTCTCTAATCACTAATTAATGATCACCGAGATCCCAATTAACTCTCCATTAATATCCCCTAAGAGAAACTTTTCTAATTAAAAGAGGAATCACAATTTTTTAAATTAATAATCCCTAATAGCATGCCCCAATTAACCCCCACACTTAACAACTCTCAATTAATTCCTCCAATTAACACCTCTTTAATTAACATCCCCCGGGGACACCCCAATCTGCTCCCCCGGAATTACCCCAGACACCCCAAATTAACGCTTCATCTTAATTAATGCCTAAATTAATACCTCGCCATTAATTAATTAATCCCCATTAATTAATAACTCCTGATTAATTAACTTTTAATTATGCCCCCACGACTGGAATTCCCTCTGGAATTCTCCCCCCC